GCAGCCGCAGCCGCAGCGAGGCCGGCGGGCGGGAGCGCACGGTGGTGGCGCCGGCCGGGCCGGGTGCGGGCTCGCAGCTGTGTGTCCCAGGAGTGAGTGAGCGAGCGCGGGTGGGGCGTGACCCAGAGGGGGTTCCAGGGGTCGCAGGCGGGCTTGGGCGGCGGGTGAGTGAGGAGTGTACGGGACTGGAGAGAGATGTGGAGAGCTGGGACGCTTTGGACCACCCTCGGCGCCCCTGGCTTTTCCCAGCCACCTCTCAGCCAGGGCCTCGCCTGCAAAACCCCATATGACAGATGGGAAAATTGAGGCTCGAAGAGACCAAGTGATTTTCAAGGTCACACAGCGAGGAAGCAGCAAAACCAGTCAGGGATGGCTGTGGATGGTTCCGAGGAAAAGTGTGAGAACTCCGTAGAGGAGCTCTGTCTCCCAAAACGCAGGAGCATGTGTAGGGGCAGGCTACCCTTCCTTGGGGCAAAGCTTTGGTAGGGTGGGGAAATGATGGAAATTAGGGTGAGCCCTAGACCGCGGACGAAGGGGGGAGGGGCGGTGTAATGGGCGTGTGCGCACCCACGGGGGTGTGTGCATGGGTGGGAAAGTGCATGCGTGGAGATGCACTATTTTGCGCGTGTGCACACGTGTGCAGATGTCAGCGCCTCCGTGGTCGCGGGACTAGAGCTGGCGTGGCTCAAGTGGACATCAGGTCCGCGAGGCGCATCCACGGGTACGTGGGTTGTGTGTGTGTGCTTGGGGGCTCCACGGTGCAGGTATGTCCAGGGTGCGGGTGCCATTGTCTGAGACAGAATAGGGCGAATGCCTGTGCCCTGCAGCGTGTGCGAAGGAGGCTCTTGTATCTTAGGTCCTGGGCCTCCAGAAAATAACTTGGGTGTGGAATGGGTGTCTGCCCCTGCAGGAGTGCACCTGGTCCTCCCCACGCCCCCTTCCCGGTGACCCGAGTTGCTGGAGGTGCCCTGCCCGCAATGGCCATCCCACGGCTCTACCGCCCCCTTCTGGGCACCTTACTCTGCGCGCACAGTTCACCTCTGCAGCCTGGGGGTCTGGGTCGGGATTCCGGGTTTGGGGGAAGATGATCCTGTGGAAGAGATGAGCCTGGACTCCAGGGTCTTCGCGGAGGTGGCTTGGGAGCGCGCGGTTCCCAGGCTCAGGCTTCCCCGCTGACGCCTCGAGGCCCCGCCCTAAGAATGTTTCTTTCTACTATGGTCTGCTGCGTCGGGGCAGGCCCCTGGGGGCTGCTGACGCCCGCCCCTCTCCGCTGGCGCCCGAGAGGGTGCCGTGAGCTAGCAGGACGCCTAGGCCCTCTCTTCCCCCTCCTATCCCAGGGAGAAATTCCTCCGAGGTCCCCTCAGGCTCTGGGTTCCCAAAATAACCCTGCGGGGGAAGGGAGGCAGTGGAGGGAGGAAGGAGGGAGGGGCGCACAGCCGAACTGCAGGGCGCTGCAGGTGCCTCCGGGGGAGCTGGAGCGAGCCAGCCCGGGGCTAGCCGCGAAGGGCCTACGGGGGTGGGGCTGGTGCCCCAGCCAACCCCTGTTAAGTCCAGGCTCGTCCCCATCCTCGCAGATTTCTTCGACCCTTCCTTGATTCGGAGGGTGGGCCGGAAGCCTCTTGGCAGATCCGTTTCCCAACTAGCGGGTTACACCATCCCGGCCCAGGCTGTTGCGTCCCGCGAGTGGCCGAGTGGCCACTGTGGGCTGTGGGCAACTCCGCCCCAAGCCCATAGAGGGCGTGCCTGCTACTCCCGGTTGCTGCCCCTGGGCCGCGGCCCGGCTGGCCAGAGTCTCCACAGACAGTTCTGTTTCTCTCTCGGGACAGGACTCTGATCTGAGCTCAGAGGGAGGCTCCCAAAGCACATCCTGGGTCCAGCATACCCTGGCAGGCAACCATGGCGGGCACACTGGACCTGGACAAGGGCTGTACGGTGGAGGAGCTGCTCCGTGGCTGCATTGAAGCCTTCGGTGAGTGGAGCAGGAGGGCACACTGAGTCTGGGCCCCTGCCTCTCGGGTGCATCCCTGGCCTTGAGTCCTGCAACTTTCTTGAGGAAACGCTTCTTCGTGGCAGGGGAGAGAGGTACCCATGCTTTATCAAGTCACTGTTTTTCTTGCCTAGTCTGACCCTACCCCGAGGTAAAGGAAGGGCCTGGGTTCCAGCCTCTGGTGAGGAGGACTTTATCTGTGTCCCCGGGGATCCGGAGGAACTCTGTATCTCTGGCGTGGGAACTGTTTCCTGCAGATGAGGGGTGGTTTCTGGCTAAGGGGTGCCCCTTTCCCCAGCACTCAGGAAATGACCTCTGGATTCCCAACCCCGGGGAACCCAGACTCCTTCCGCCCCAACTGGTTCCCCTCCAGACCAGGGCCAGCTCCAACCCTCAGTCCCTAGCTCTTAGGATCCTGTTCTACCTTGGCCCACCCAACCTTTTTTTTTTTTTTTTTTTAATATGGATCTCCTGGTTTTTTTATTTACCTCCTAGTTTCAGAGCCCTAGAAAAGCTAGAGGTGGGTGGAGGTAGGAGTTCAGCCCCAGGGGCCCTGATGTTGGGAGGGCTGTGGGCTAGTTTATAGGAATCTGAGTTTGGAGCTCAGCCTGCTTCCTGCTTCTCTTTGACCCTGGGGAGTTAGATGACTCTGGGAAGGTGAGGGACCCACAGCTAGTGCGCATGTTCCTCATGATGCACCCGTGGTACATCCCGTCCTCTGAGCTGGCAGCGAAACTGCTCCACATATATCCTTCGCGGGCCTCTCTTGGGCTTTGTGGTCAGTGTCCATCAGTGAGCTCCATTCTAGGCTAGGCACAGATGTGCCAGCCCCTCCTAGAGCCCATAGTACAAGCTTCCTTCCCACCTCTGTTGGAGGCTAGGCCTCACCTCTGTGCTCCCTTCCCTACTCAGGCCCTGGCCTAAGCCTTGCCCTGGCTTTCCCTAGGGTCTAGATCTGTCCCTTCACCCAATGGGTCACCTCTACTGGCAGCCTTCTGGAGCCCCTCTAGCCCTACATCCCACCTACATCCTTCTAAATCTCATGCCTCATGCACCACATCCTTTCAGAATCAAGGTTTCTCAGTTCCCATCCTGCTCCACAAAGCCTAGTCCCTTCATCCCTTGTTAGAGTTAGGCACCATTCTTTTCCTTAATTCTCTTCTACCTACCAACAATCCCGGAAGGACAACTCCAATTCGCTGCAGGTGAAAACGTGCCACCTGGTCAGGTAAGTCTTTCTCTTGCTCCTTACTCTGAGGCTTCAGCCTGGCTGGAAGAGTGGACAAAGTGCCACTGGGTCTTGTGGGTTTGAATTTTGGATGGGTGGGCTGCTTTAGGCTGCCCCTTCCTTCATCCTCCATCCTCAGTCTTGGCTTTCTTTTCCCAGTTGCCTTGTAGGGTGGAAGTCTCAGAGTTGTTTGTAGCCTTGGGGAAAGAAAGAGCTTCGAGAGGGGGGAACCAAACTTTGAGACTCTTTCTTCCTCTTTGAGTAATGACTATTCCAGTAGTTCCTTAGGGGTCCACTGTGGGATGGTGGGAAGGGCTGCCTTGGGTGACTCCACCCCTCTACCAGGTACTGGATCTCAGCATTCCCAGCGGAGTTTGACTTGAACCCTGAGCTGGCTGAGCAGATCAAGGAGCTGAAGGCTCTGCTAGACCAAGAAGGGAACCGGCGCCACAGCAGCCTCATCGACATTGAGAGCGTGTGCGTGCTCAGAATCAGAGGGCTTAATAAATGTCTGTTGACTGAATGAGTGAGCATCATGTAACTGTCTTGCTTCAACACTTTCCATGCTCCCTGTGGCCTTCAAAACACCTGGTTGTGGTGGTCAGGTTAGCCTGGTGGTTCCTGCCTCATCTGCCATGGCCCACAGCCAATCCTGCTGCACCTCCTACCTCAGCACCACCTGCCCACCCTCCATCATCTCAGCCTCTGCATCTTTTCCTACCTGGCACTCAATCCTGTCATTGTCCTTGTCTCCTCCTCCATGCCACCGTGGCTCAGCTCAAATGTGACATCTCTGTAGGCTCTGAGAGCTCAAGGCTGTTCCAGAGCAGCATTTGTCCTCCCACCTCTATTTTCCCATAGCATTTTGTACAGACTCCAGCACGAAGGTCTCATACATGGGTTGCATTCTTTGGTGACCTGCATTTCTGTGTCTGTCTTTCTCAGTAGACTGTGAGCTCCTTGAGGGCAGGCACTGTGTCTTGCTCATCTCTATCCCCAGCATCTAGCACAAGGCCTGGCACAGAGTGCTCTGTCCATAAATGTGTGTCAAGTGCAGGGTGAGGGGAAGACAGGGAAAAGTTGCTGGGCTGGGGACACTAGTGCCTAGAACAGTGGGTCTCATCATGACAGCCTGAGTGGCATGTCTGTGTGAATGTGGGGCCACACGTGGCAGGGGGCATCTCCAGCAGAGGGCTCACTACTCCTGCACCCTCCCAGTCCCACCTACAAGTGGAAGCGCCAGGTGACTCAGCGGAACCCTATGGAACAGAAAAAGCGCAAGATGTCCCTGTTATTCGACCACCTGGAGCCCCTGGAGCTGGCGGAGCACCTCACTTACCTGGAGTACCGCTCCTTCTGCAAGATCCTGGTGTGACCTGTGGGCTTGTGGTTGGGGGCCACTGTGGGCTGGGAAGATGGTTCTAGGAGGGGCAGGGCCCCTGGGCCGTTCCTGGGACAACTGGAGGTTGTTGAGGCACTGAGGCCACTCCCTCCTGCCTCCAGTTCCAGGACTATCACAGTTTCGTGACTCATGGGTGCACAGTGGACAACCCCGTGTTGGAGCGCTTCATTTCCCTCTTCAACAGTGTCTCGCAGTGGGTGCAGCTCATGATCCTCAGCAAGCCCACGGCCCCTCAGCGGGCACTGGTCATCACTCACTTTGTGCACGTGGCTGAGGTGCCCACCCCTCCCCCAGCTCCCTGTGGCATGCACCCACTGTCCTGTACACAGAAAGGCTGGGCTCAGTCCTGGGCCCCCTTGGTAACACAGTGCCTCATCCTCTCCATCTGCCCCCCAGAAGCTGCTGCAGCTGCAGAACTTCAACACGCTGATGGCTGTGGTTGGGGGCCTGAGCCACAGCTCCATCTCCCGCCTCAAGGATACACACAACCACGTCAGCCCTGAGACCATCAAGGTGCCTGGGAGTGGGGAGCCCATTATTCCCATTTGTGGCCCTTCTAGGTGCAGTGCTGTGGGCTAGGCACAGCTGTTTTCATTGGCCAGCTGAGGAAACAGGACTGGAGGGATTAAATGCTTTCCTGGGTTATATGTTGCAAGTAGCAGAGGGAGACTTCGAAGTCTGCCTGGCCCCAAAGTTAATGCTTTCTTCTGTCTCTGACTCTGTCTCTGTCTCTGTCTCTGTCTCTGTCTCTGTCTGTTTTATAACATATTGGGTAAGATAGATATAGAAAAGTATATAAAACATGAACAATCTAAAGAAAAAAATACAGAGAAGTGTCTGTGTAACTATCACCAAGATTATGACACGTTCCTATAATCTTGGCATTCTAGGTGGCTGAGTCAGGAGGATCATAAATTCAAGTCCAGACCATGCAACTCAGTGAATTAGTGAGACTCTGTCTGAAGATAAAATAAAAATAAATGAAAAAAGGAGTGGAGATGAAATAATGTAAGGGCCCTGGGTTCAATCTCCAGAAGTACTAAAAAAAAAAAAAAAAATCTTAAAGGCATTGGCTGGAGGTGTGGCTCGGGGGCAAAGTACTTGCATAGCATGTGTGGGTCACTGGGTGTCATTCCTAGCACTGCAAGAGAACATTGCTGTACCCAGCACTTTAGAGCATAATTTGCTCCTCACCAGTGGTAGTCAATGTCTTGACTGTGACAATGACTTTATTTTTCCTTACAGCTTTACCCGGTATGTGCATTTCAAAGCAAAAGTAGGTTTTTTGGTTCCCTGTTTTTGAACTTTTTTTTAGAAAAAAATTGTATTTGGTACAAGGTCTTGCTATGAAGCTTGGACTCATAGTGATCCTCCTGTTTTGAGTCTCCCCAGCACTGGGGTTATAGGTGTAAGCCACTACTGGGATTTGTTGTCTGCTCAGTGCACCAGGGGGCAGGGCTGATGCAGGATGCGGTACTGGGGATCAAACCCTAGTCTCTGTGCTTGCCTAAGCAGGTGCTTAGTCCACTGAGCTATCTTGCTAGCCCTGAACTTTCTTTCTCTTTTGCAAATTTTCTACGAGTGTCATCATGTCATACATGTTTGTTTTGTGTCTTGCCCTTTTCCCTTCACAAGTTTGGGAGAGCCTTTTTATTTTTTTATGTGGAGCAATCGTTTTCATTTTTGTTGTTACAGCATGTTATTGTAAGTCCATTGCAATTTATGCATCTGTTTGATTGCTGAACATTTAGGGGTTTTCCCAGTTCTTCCTGGTACAGCACAGCTCCGAGCATTTTTGAGCATTTTCCTAGTCGTTGACCTGTGCTGTCTCACCTTCCTGAGCCTGGGTTTGTTTCTCTTAACTACCCTGGTAGAGAGGTGTGGTATTTAACAGTGGGTGTTGCCTTGAACTTGTGACCTCCTCGGAACTGACTTCCTAGGGACTGAGGGAGATGGTGATGGGGGACTGTAAGGGAGGATTTTGCCTTTTGACCTATGCCTGACCTTGATTCATCCTTTGCTACATTTTCAGGGCCAAGTTGGGGAGGATGGTTGAATGGCATTTGTGTGTGTGACCCTCTGCCCTTTGTTCCCAGCTCTGGGAAGGTCTCACAGAGCTAGTGACAGCCACTGGCAACTATGGTAACTACCGGCGCCGGCTGGCAGCTTGCGTGGGCTTCCGCTTCCCCATCCTGGGTGTACATCTCAAGGACCTGGTGGCCCTGCAGCTGGCACTTCCTGACTGGCTGGATTCAGCCCGGACCCGGCTCAATGGGGCCAAGATGAAGCAGCTCTTTAGCATCCTGGAGGAGCTGGCCATGGTTACCAGCCTGCGGCCACCTGTGCAAGCCAACCCTGACTTGCTGAGTCTCCTCACGGTGAGAGCAAGGGGTCGGGGGTGCTGGGATCTGGGCACCAGGGTTTAAGAGCTGTGCTAGTCCTGGCTGTGGGCTTGACCTTGGTTCTAGATTCTGGTCAAGTCACTGAAATCCAAATGGGGTTCCAGCACTTGGTGGGAACTTAAGAAGACCTATAGGCTCCAGCTGAGGCTGTATCCTGAGACTGGTCTTGAGGCTGTGTGGTCTGGGGACTGGATTTGAGGATAAGTCTGGCTCCGGGACAAGTTCCTGACATAGACCGTGTTTAAGGTTTGGAGCCATGCTCTAGATCTTCCACAGAGTGGAAGTGGATTTGGAGTGAAGTTGTGCGCTTCATTCCCTGCTCAGCTTGGAGGACCAGTACAGGAGTTGTGTTCCAGGCTGAAGTCAGAAAGGTTCTAGATGCTAGTTTGAGGCTTAGATGGAGGGTTTGGTGTGAATTCTTGGCTGCTTCTTGGCTCTGGACGGAGATCAGGATTGAAAATAGAGCTGGATTCTGGGTGAATTCCAGAGTACAAGGCTGAGTTCTGACTGGGTTCTTGGCTGAGATCTTGACAGTGCAAGACTTGGAGTCAAACTGAGGTCTAGTCAGTGTGCTGCTGGCACAAGGGCTCTGCTGGGGTGTATTTCAAGCCAGGCTTCATCCTCAGTCTAGCTTGGGGACTGGACTTTGGGCTGAGCAGTGGCTTCTAGGTGGTCCTGCCACTGTGGTTTGGAGGCTCCTGAGAGCGACAAGGACCAGAGGGCATGATCAGAACTGTATGTATCCTAGGTGTCACTGGATCAGTATCAGACAGAGGATGAGCTGTACCAGCTGTCCCTCCAGCGGGAGCCACGCTCCAAGTCCTCGGTGAGGGGGACTCTGGTTCTCCCTGCCCTCCCGCCCCTGCCTGAGAACCCTAGGATGAGAAGATGGACAGAGGAGCCCTGGGGCAGGGCAGTGGCACTGGGAAGGTTCTTTTCCTCCAGGCACTCCCTCTCTGTTTCCCTGGGCCCTGGGATCTTCCTACCTCTTGCCTTAGCTCAGGCTTGACCATTCCCACAGCCAGCGAGCCCCACCAGTTGCACCCCACCTCCCCGGCCCCCAGTGCTAGAAGAATGGACCTCAGCCGCTAAACCTAAGCTGGACCAAGCTCTCCTAGCGGAGCACATCGAGAAGATGGTGGAGGTGAGTCTCTTGGAGTCTGAGACATGGGAAGAAAAGTGCACTGATGGAGGTGGGAGTCAGTAAAAGCTGGTTTTGCTGGAGTAGTTGCTTGAGAGCCACCACAGAAGCCATGTCCATGGGTGAATGCTTAGTGACCAGGATAGGTAGCAGGCTGCACAAGGTAGGGTGAGAAGGTTGGGTAAGATAGGAAAAGAGATGGTAGTGATGTCTCTGGGTCTGTTGGAAGGGACAGGCCCTGGTGACCCCTTTTTTCCCTTCTGCTTTTGTATGTTTCTCTTCCTCTATCCAGTCTGTGTTCAGGAACTTTGATGTCGATGGAGATGGCCACATTTCCCAGGAAGAATTCCAGATCATCCGTGGCAACTTCCCTTATCTCAGCGCCTTTGGGGACTTGGACCAGAACCAGTGAGGAGGGTTGGGAGCCTGGGGGACAGGGAAGGCAGTGGCTTTCTTCCCCCTTGTCTTTCATTTTCCTACACGCAAGATGAAGCCATTGAACCCGGCGAACTTGGCTGGGGGGTAGCTACCACTTTGGGGAAGGCTAGCAATTTTAGGGGTGGGAGGAAGCTGTGAGCTGTAGAGGCATGGCGTGATGTCATTAATTCAGGCAGATGGGGGGCTCCATCTGAACCTGGAAAAGACTTTGGCCTGGTGACCTTTGCTACATAAATACTGTTTTGTTGTGGAGCTCACAGCTGGCAAAAAGTGTGGGCAAGTCAAGCTCTGGGTAGCCAGTTTTAATGCATAGATAAGAAAGACCTGTAATTAGCAGCACCCACTTGCTTATCAACAATTCATCGGCTGACAATTTGGAAAAACAGCTGGATCTCTGAAGTAGGTTAAGCATGCTCCTGCCACTGTGTTTATGCCCCACTTTTTGCTGAGCAGACAAAACCCCAATCAAAAATTACAGTCCATTTGAGGTCAATTTATTTATTTATTTTTACTAATTATTTACTTTTTACAAGATATATGCATTTAACTGTCCAAACAAGGTCACTTTATTTTTAAATGTGACCTGCATTTCAACCCTTCTCCTGTAGGTCTCCACTTTACAGCAATTTATGGTTGCTGGGTATGGTAGTGTATTCCTATAATCCAGCAACTGAGAGGTGGAGGCAGGAGAATTGCTGTGAGTTTGAGGCCAGCCTGGGCTACATAGTGAGAACTTGTCTCAGAACAAAGCAAAACAAAACAAATTGGAATCTATGATTTAAAAAATTCAGGTAGTAAAATAAAGTTATACTGAGCAGGTAAAGAGTAAGAAGTAAACATTCCCAACTTCCTTGCCACTGGTAGAGGTAATCTATGTCAGTGGTCAGGCAAAACATGCATCCTTCCAGTCTTTTTTCCATACAGGTACAAATGAATAGAAATTTTGTTTATGTGGTGTATATTTCATGGAGAAACAAGATTTCAGTATGAACCTAGTGGTTTTATTGAGGTTGCTTTGTTTCTTCTCCCAAAGATATGGTAGGGCATGAGTTCCCTGCTATCTCCCAGGCTGGTGGGTGATATTTAAGCTATATTTCCACCAAAAGTATAATCCTTTAAGACCCCTGAGGGATCAGGGTGAGGTGGTGGACACCTGTGATCCCAGGGGATACCACCCTAGCAGCTGAGCAAAATCCTACCTCACCAGAGACCCTGGAGACCCCAGCTCCATATAGGGCCTAGCTTTAACTTTCTATCTGATGGACTGGTGTTATGGCTTAGTGGTAGAAAGCACTAGACATACTCAGGGCCCTAAATTCAAGCCTCAACACCAGTCAAAGAAAAAAGAGGCCAGTAACTCCCTCCTCAGACCGGCCCAGCTCATAGCTTCATCTTGAAGCTTTCTTTTTGTTTCTGGAGCTTGAGAATTTTCAGCCCTTCTTGGAAAATTATCTATGCATTTAAAAGCAATTTTGGATATCTTTTATTTTTTATTTTTTGGCAGAACCGGGGATTGAACTCAGGCCTTTGTGCTTACCAGGGAAGCACTTATTCTACTGAGCCATCTCCCCGGCCCCAAAGAAATAGTTTGGCATTTTTCAAAATGCCAAATTAGAAACCAGGCATGATGGGACATGCCTATAATACCAGTGTTGGGGAGGCTGAAACAGGAAGATTCCAAGGAGTCAGAGCTGCATGACATGAGTCCAAGCTGCATAGCAAGACCCTGTACCAAATGCAAAAATTAAAATAAATAAATAAAGCATAAAAAAATTACTAAATTAGAGCTAGGCCTGGTGGCCCACACCTGTAATCCCAGCACTGGAAAGCTGAGGCAGAAGGATTGGAATGTTGAGTTCAAGCTACAAAGTGAGCTCAGGGCCAGGCTGAACTGCATAGTGAGTCATTGTCTCACAAAGATAAGAACAGCAACATCAACAAAAACCCCCTCTTAGGGGGCCTGGCCCTAGCTCAGGCCTTTAAGTGGCTGCTTCCACAAAGCTGTCAGCCTCAGGTTGCTGGAGTTCGAACCTCACAACTCTCCCAAGCTGGC